ATAAGGATTCATTTACTTTTACGATTAAAAAAGCAATGAGTTTGCATAACTTTATTAAACTTGATTTTTTTATCAATTCTCAATCTTATTATCGTAACTGTTTGGCAACTTCTTTCAAGGAACTTATCGAAAGAACCCTATTACAAACGCGCCTAATGTTCAATAACTCAGTGAAACTTCAACTCACTTATTGTAAGGTTGTGTGTCTTCCTTTGTAACATGTTCTAATTGTTCCTGAATATCTTATAGTCTTCTAGAAGCTTGCTGCTCTTCTTTGATTTGTAATAACTCGGTATGAATAGCTGATAAGTTCCGTTGATCTCCAATTTCAAAAGATACTGTAGCTGATACTTTTACTAAACAAATAATTCATTTTTTTATTTTATATATCTTTTTAGTGAATTATCTTAATATTATTTAGGAAAATACAGGGTTTTCTTGCTTGATGATAAACTGTTCAGATATAATTGCATTATCTTCTAAGACAACCCAAACGTTATAACATCAGTGTTAATTTGGAACTTTTAATATTACGATTGATGAAAATGATCATGCATTTTCATATAATACGGAAATACTTAAATTATAGATAAGTAGTAAATTACATCAATCGTAATAATTTTTTTGGTGATGATACAAGACTTTGTTGTTTAAGTTTTTTATAATACGAGATTGAGTTAAATCATTTTATGTGCGGTACAAGGTTCAAAATGTTTAAAGAATCGACTTAAATTCAAAAAAATATATCTAAATTGAAAGTTCGTTAGTGAAAATTAGGTTTTAACGAATAAATAAATAAATAAATAAATAAATTTCGGAAAAAAAAAAAATTTTTTTTGTCCAAAAAAATGAGTCGTGACTCATGATTATAAACTTACATGATTTATTTATATTTTAAATAGTTAAAAATAATCTAATTTTATCATTTTACTGCGCCATCATTTTTTTCTCGAAAAAACTTATATCCCTTCCATTTCAAATTCCAACTAATCAAAATTCCGCACTATTTGGGTTCAAATTACCAAAGTAGTGATGTCAATAGCTGATCAGCCGTCTCAGAAAGTTTATTTGTGTATGAAAAAGTTTGTAAATCATATGAAGCATAATAATATATTATACATAGAAGTATTCAGTAGGACAAACCAGCCGTTTGATTTCAATATTTGTTTCACATTACAAGGTTGCATGTGCAAAAAGAATTTTGTAAATCGGACAGAAAATTTCATCTATCAATATTTGCAAAAGGAAAAAAATAAAGATATGAAACGATAAAAATTATTCAATAATATAGTCGATTTAATCAATGTTTATAAGAAATAAAATCCGTCAACTATTAAGATAGAAGAAAAATTGCCAAGATTTTTATTTTTTCTTATTATTAGTACTTTAGAAAAAATTTACTGCGACGAGTAAATTTATGTAACAATACCAAGTCCTCCCATGACATCCCAAAGTGAACTTTGGAAGAGACTTTTGAAACGAATAAAGCATAATTTATGCATGCACTAAGATTACATTGATACAGTATAATAAATATTATTTCCAAGAAATATTCTTTTTCTAAATCAATGATTTTTTTTTTCTTTTTTTGAAACTTATAAAAGGAAATATATTACGACAATGCACAATATTTTTTATTGATCTAAAAATAATTGTCGTGATCACGTGATAGATGATCAATTGTGGCTTTTACCGGCAATAGGCGTGATCTCGTATTACATGACACACATTACACATTAGTGTTTTTTGATCATCGCCTTGCAGATCATCAATTTCAAAACAGCCAAATGAGAAAACCTTGTTTATTCACTAATACACTTTTATCATATTTACAATATTAGGTAACTATATTTTATTTTTTCTTAAATATTAGAATTTTAAATTATGAAATCATTTATTATTAATTTTACAGATAGAAGATATAGATGAGATTTGTATAATCAGTTTAACACGATTACCATGACACTTCTTTTCAGTCTCTCACTTTTTAACTTTGCTAATCGACATAGGTATATCGGGACAAAAATCATTATATCTCGGATGTTCGGCTTATTTTTCTTCCAAGATCACATGACCGGTGATGTTAAAAGAGATTATTGTATTAGGGTTAAAGGAATTACATGAACTTAGTTTTGTTTTTTGTACTTCCGGAATTTTTATACTATTCATTTTTTGAGTAAATTTATTAATCATTTTACTTTATTTGTATTTCATTGTCGGTGAAAATTTTTACACGAGATTTTTATTGGTTGAGTTACAAAATGGAAATTATAATAAATTTATTAAAGGCATAGGTTATTTAATGAACCTGAACCAAATCAAAACAAAGCGAAAATAAAAGGTCGAATGAATGTAACCGAATGAAGCAAAAAATTAAGGAGATAAAGAATAAACAAAAAAGAACCAAAAAACGAAAATATAACGATATAACCGAAAAAACGAATATATAAAAATGAAAATCTAGTAACCGTAAAATTTTGTGTCTCTTTTTTCAAAATCTTTTTTTTACAAACTTTCGTCTAGTTACATCCCGTCGCAGAGTGGCTAATTTGAAATATTGTTCTTTGTACATACAAATATTACACAAGCTCGTTATAATAGACAATAGACATCAATTTTGGTTAATTTTTTTTATCAGGTCAAGAATAATAATTGAAACTCAATTACTTTTAACAAAATCGCAAATATATATGTATTACAAACAGACTATTTTAGTTACTTAGATTCATAGATGATATTTGACACAAATAGTACATAAATTTTCTTTATTATCGTTTTCAAAAATTTGCTATATCAATTATTGAACGTTATTTTCGGTGTAGTTCACTACATTTTCAAATTGAAAACATTTCTAAAAAACACTAATAAAAATTTTCTATTTCCTATTCCCTTCGTTTTTTAATATTAGCTATCATATTAAGTATGTAATGAAAAAAACGTTCTTTTTATAAATGGTTTATGGAATCAAAAGTAAATTTTAATTTTAATAAACTTAATTTCATAATAAAAGTTAATACTCTATAAATTAAAAATCATAAAATTAAAAAGCAATAAAAACTTCTTAGTAATTGAACATGATTGGCTAATTCTTATTTAAAAACTTAAGTAATTTATCTTTTCATATATTTATACATGTTTAAATTTATCTTACCTTTTTTTTTCCAACATAACTTAAAATGAATTATGATACTTAATATAATAAAAAAAAAAAAATTAATTATAACTCATTTAGTGTTTATTGATTCTATATTTGGTTAGAGTGACCGAAATCGTTTCGTTCACTCTAACCTAATTTAAAAGAACGGCTTAATATTATTACATGTTTGACACACTTCATATTAGGTTGTGATGTGTTAAAATGTTTGTGACATATATGTGAGTATTGTGACTTGTGATTGTTTTCTCCGGTGATCCACTTAAATTTCGTCCCCGAAACGCGGAAAAATCTAAAAAATCTAATGAATTTATTTATATACGCCACAGAATTGAATTTAATCCAATATAGGTTAAAAGCTAGAAAAAGTTATCGCGATTGTTGATTTGAGTTACCTATTGGTACCATATTTGTGTTGGATTACAAAGATATTAAAGATAATAATTCCGTTTTTGGCAAGAGTGGACAAGAATAAGGCTTTACTACAAATATATTATATTAATAAAATAAAGTCATTGTGAATTGTTTTATCTGTAATTTTCCCCCTAGATGCAACAGATCATAAGGACTCTTCCTTCCATTTATTTCATTTGTTAGATTGCATTATCAAAGGGCGCTTCCACGGATGTTTCCCTTTTGAACTATATTATGATGTAATCGAACAATCGAACGTAAATTTTAGAATAAATATAAAATATATACAAATATATATATTTTAAAGAAATAAAGTTAACGAATAGGTTACGTCGATCAATCACTTATTCAGCTCTGATTTTATCTCGCAGAAGACTTTGCGAAAACGTAAATATCTAATGAATACAAAATTAATTATGGTTTTTATATTTCACCCTTTGTTTTTTTTTTGGCGTTTTTTTAGAAAGCACCTCCTAATTATAAACCGCGAGTGTTATTGTTGTTCAAAGAAAAAATTTTCTAATTACTTATTATAGAATGATTTATTAAATAATAAAATATAATAATAACTGATAATATATACAGATGATCTCCAAAATGACCAAATGTCTATGCGGCTTATTCTTTGTCACGCAAAATTAGGGAGGTTGCTGAAATATAGTCTTAATTAAGTATTTAATGGTTACATCATCCCATTATAAGTGATATTATAGCAAATCGACAAAAAATATGACTAACCAATCGGTTGTCGAATGGGACAAAAATTCAAAGCTTGTACATTTTTACTGTACGTATGCAGTATAGCATACAAATTTGCTGACAAGACTATAATTTATAAACAAAGTATAAATATCAAGAGATAAGGCATATATACTGCATCATTTTAAAATAGTTAACTTTGCTCCCTTTCTATTGAATCCGAAAAAAACAACCAAAAACCTAAAAATCTGTGCTCGTATTTTTATTAAACTAAAAATTTTTATATCGAATTTACAATAAACTTTATTACAAATTTACAATACTATAAAAGACATTTTAAAAAAAATTTCTAAACGATAAAATTAAATAGTATCATTCTATGAAATAAAACCAGAAAAGAAGGTCTTTTAAGCTTCTTTTATATTGAAATAATGAAGTTTAGGATATTTATTTAAAGTATCCATTCGTATAAATATATTGATCGAGTTCACGTAATATTCTCAAAAATAGTTTTATACCCCTTTCCACTATCTTTTAAAAACAAAAGGTTACAAAATTAATTTTATTCTTAAATTTATTTTCTCGCAAAAATTTCGCAAATAAAATAGCTTACTTTAGTAGAGGGAGAAAAATATTTTTCACCATTATTGTTATTCAATATAATTCATTTTATAACCAACCTACTCTCTAAGAATATACACTTCATTCAACTTATCAGCGTTTATAAGCCATTATGAATACGAATGTTGTGCCAATTCAACCTACTACGCAAAGTAACGTACAAATGAATGAATGTGAATTTTTTCATTATGCACCAAATGATGATAGATTCTATCATATAACTTGCCAAATTATTTTACATGGTTCTGTCTCCTTGGATAATCACAATTATGATCATGGGTTCTTTTATAATATTGATCCTACAGAAAATTATTATGTCACATGCAAAATATTTTCACATTCTTTAATCGCAAATATATTGAACAAAAAAATATACGGAAAGGATATTGGCGTAAATAATTTGGAACGAAAAGAATTACTATCTTTGAATCAAAAATTGGATTTGGAACGAGATTTGAAACAAATTCTTCCTCTTCACCTTACACAAAATCATATTTCTAATAGAGAAATAAGAATGAATTCTGATCGAAACTTAAATTCTTCTTACGGACATAATGCACAGAAAATTTCGGTAACTAATAGTCAACCTACTTTTGATAATAACTTTCCTTAACAAACTAGAGTTGAATATTTTACTAATAATGTCATTAATCCACGACAAGAAGTTTTCATTAATATTCCACAACAAGTTCCTGATGGATTACGCTGTAATGAAAATACAAATACATTTTGTGGAAATGTCGGGAATAATGTAATGAAAACACAAGCTGTTTCAATCGCCAATAGTCAAACCAATAGTTTTCTTCAACCCAATAATCTCCTTTCGGCATCTGCAGCGCCACAAAATGTTAGTACTTATCATATCACTGGTTCACCTCAACAAATTGATTTCAACAATATTCCACAACAAATTATTGATAGAGAAATGAGATTGAATTGTTATAGAAATGTAAATTCATTTCATGGAAGTATACTAGCGAATAATACACAATCTGTTTTGACAACAGATATTAGTCGAAACTATGGTAATGATCTAAATGGAACTAGGCAGCGAGTTGATCCCAACAATAATTATGGGGACACAGATTCAAACAATAGAAATATTGGGAATAATATAACGACAACGCATGCTAATGGCTTAACATGCGATCACCAGACTTACCAAGTTAATTATGGGGGCACAGATTTTCATAATGGAAATACTGTAACGACAATGCAAGCTAATGACTTGACATGTGATCACCTGAATATAAGTGACAATCATATACAACATCATCAACAATGAAACCGGTTTGATATGTATGCTTTTAAGTTTAATTTTTATTTCTCATTTAGTCGTTAAAATTAATGAACTTATAAACATAACTGAAGGACTAACCTATGTTAATATTAAAAAATAATTTATTCCAAGTTATATGGGAAGAAAAAAGTAAGATAAATATGAATATGTATACATGAAGATAGATAAGTTTTTTAATAATTAAGAATTAGTCAATTAAGACTCAATTAAGGGCTTTTTATTGTTTCTTTTAATTTTATTAAATTTATTATGTTTTTTAAGTTTATTAAAATTAAGAATTATGAATAAGATTATCACAAGTAACTTGTACATCCAACATTCTAACATACCATTTAATTATTTTCAACATTATGATATCAAATCGTAAAGAAATAAAATCAATAATTTTTTGTATGATAAGATAAACCACCAACTCAATGAGTAATTAGGCTTACGTAGCCACGATAATCACATGATTGCATGATTGCAATATCTCTTTTATAAGTCCCACAGATCATGTGTTATATAAAAGGACCATTTTGTTACGCAAAAATTATTTCGCATAATTTAGTGTATCATAAAATATTTACTATTTTAAGAAATCTGGACTATTACATAACACAAGAAATTTTACATAATTTATTTATTAAAAAGTGAATTTCTTGTTTGATAATACAGAAAAAGGTAATAAAAAAATTTGATGTATAAATTAAACGCTTATATTATAATTATACGCTTATTAAATGCTAAAAGCCGCATAATAGATGGTGGAACAAGCAGTTATATGTTGAAATAGGCGCAGATTTAATAAACGTTATTCTATTAATATCAATCAATCTCTTGATTGCAATGGTTACATGGTTTTAGATTCCTCAACTATCGACTAGCTTAAAGTCGCATCTCAAAGGAAATATATCACAGCATGATAGAACCAGTCATTATCAAGGAAATCGTTAAGCTGGAAACCTTCGGATATATCTGTATTGTTTTTATTCACAATTCTAATAATGAAAAGGGCCACAGGTAAAGAAAACCTGATGACGAGAAATCACGTGATATAGTGTTTTAGGACGCATGCTCTATATAATAGATATTTATGTGCCAGTGCGTGTTACAGTGATCAGGCTGTTCTGATAAATTATATTGCAATTTTATTCTTCCAGACATCCCAAAGCATATTTACAATATTAGGTAACTATATTTTATTTTTTCTTAAATATTAGGATTTTAAATTATGAAATAATTTATCATTAATTTTACAGATATATAAGGCAGTGAATTTAGAAGATATAGATGAGATTTGTATAATCAGTTTAACGCGATTATCATGACACTTCTTTTCAGTCTCTCACTTTTTAACTTTGCTAGTAATTGGTGCGACATAGGTATATCGTGACAAAAATTATTATATCTCGGATGTTCGTATTATTTTCTTCCAAGATCACATGACTGGTGATGAACTTAGTTTTGTTTTTTTGTTTACATACAGTACTTCCGGAATTTTTATATTCATTTTTAGTGTAAATTTATTAAAATTTTACTTTATTTGTATTTTCATTGTCAGTGAAAATTTTTACACGAGATTTTTATTGATAGAGTTATAAAATGGAAATTATAATAAATTTATTAAATGCATAGGTTATTTAATGAACCTGAACCAAATATAATCAAAACAAAGCGAAAATAAAAGGTCGAATGAATATAACCGAATGAAGCAAAAATAAAGGAGGTAAAGAATAAACAAAAAATAACCAAAAAACGAAACTATAACGATATAACCGAAAAAACGAATATATAAAATGAAAATCTAGTAACCAAAAAAACATAACCGACAAGAAAACATTTCATCAGGACGGGTGTAACTTTTTTAAGTTTACGTAAGCTGCGTAAGATTCTGAAAAATCAATTACTTTTAACAAAATCGCAAATATATACCGTATTTTGCTGTTATTAAGCACCCCCAAAAATAAGCACCCCGGCCGGAATTATGGAGGTTTTGGCCAGAATTATGAGCATCTTGGCCGGCATTAAGTGCAAAAAAGGGGTGCTTAATTACCGCCAAATACGATATGTATTACAAACAGACTATTTTAGTTACTTAGATTCATAGATGATATTTGACACAAATAGTACGTAAATTTTCTTTATTGTCGTTTTCAAAAATTTGCTATATCAATTATTGAACGTTATTTTCGGTGTATATAGTTCACGGGATTCCTTAATGGAGGTTCCTTAATGTACAGTGGGGGTGTACGATATTAATGTACGAACTGGCCGGAGTTAACGTTAACGCTATCACGTGCAAGTGCATAACTCCTAAACTCGGGCCAGTTTGTACGTTAATATTGTACACCCCTACTGTACGTCCTATAGTTCACTACATTTTCAAATTGGAAACATTTCTAAAAAATATCTATTTCCTATTTCCTTCGGTTTTTTAATATCAGCTATTAAGTATGTAAGCATTTACTGGGCCAGAATAACAAACATTGTTCTGAAAAAAATGCTCTTTTTATAAATGGTTTGTAGAAACAAACCCAAATTTTAATTTTAATGAACTTAATTTCATAATAAAAGTTAATACTCAATAAATTAAAAATCATAGAATTAAAAAACAATAAAAACTCCCTAGTAATTGAACCATGATTGTCTAATTCTTAATAATTTAAAAACTTAAGTAATTTATCTTTTCATATATATATACATGTTTAAATTTATCTTACATTTTTTTCCATCATAACTTAAAATAAATTATTTTTTTATTATTAACATCATATATTAATCCAGAAATAAAAAATGTTGATATTGAATATGATTGGAATCAACTTGTTGCTATTGTTGAGTAACTTGGTTAATATCATTTATATACTGGTGATCGCATATCATATCATTAGCTTGCGTTGTCGCTACATTGTTTCCAGTATTCCCATAATTATTGTTGATGTCAACTTGTTGTGGTTGAGTAACTTGGGGATGAATATCATTTAGATCTGGGTGATCGTATGTCAAGCCATTAGCTTGCGTTGTCGTTACATTATTTCCAGTATTTCTATTATGTGAATCTGTGTCCCTATAATTATTATTGGCATCAACTTGTTGTTGTTGTTGAGTAACTTGGTGATGAATATCATTTATATCTGGGTGATCGTATGTTAAGCCATTAGCTTGCGTTGTCATTACATTATTCCCAATATTTCTATTATGTGAATCTGTGTCCCCATAATTATCATTGATGTCAACTTGTTTCTGTATGTAAGTAGAGTCTCTAGTTCTATTTACATCTTGACGATTAATATCTGTTGTCGAAGCAGATTGCATCGTGAATGTATTATTTACGATATTTCCATGAAATGAACTTGTATTTCTATAAGGATTCAATCTCATTTCTCTATCAGTAATCTGTTGTGGAATAATAATATTATTGAAATCATTTGGTTGTGGTGAATTAGTGATATGATAAGCACTATTTTGTGGCGCTGCAGATGTTGAACTTGAAAAAGCAAAACCATTGTTTTGACTATCAGTAATCAAATTCGCTTGCATTGTCATTACATTATTCCCAATATTTCCACCAAATGAATTTGTATTTCCACTACAGCCTGATATTTTGGGAATGTGTTGTGGTATATTATTGAAATTAACTTGTTGCCGTGAATTAGTGACATCATTAGTATAATATCCGACTCCAGTTTGTTGAGAAAAATTATTATCAAAACTAGTTTGACTATCAGTTATTGAAATTGTTTGTGTATTATATCCGTAAGAAGAATTTAAGTTTCGATCGGTCATATCTCTATTAGGAATATGATTTTGTGTAAGATGAAAAGGAAGAATTTGTTTCAAGTCTTGTTCCAAATCCAATTTTTGGTTTAAAGTTAATAATTCTTTTCGTTCCGCATTATTTGTGTCAATATCTAATCCATGTATTTTTTTGTTCAATATATTAACGATCAAAGAATGTGAAAATATTTTGCATGTGACATAATAATTTGCTGTAGGATTAATAATATTATAAAAGAATCCATGATCATAATTGTAATCATCAAAGGAGTCAGAACCTTGTAAAATAAGGTGACAGGTTATAAGATAAAACTTATCATAATTTGGTGCATAATGAAAAAATTTACGTTCATTCATTTGTATGCTACTTTGCGTAATAGGTTGCATAGCAGCCGCAGCATTCATGTTCATGACAATAAATTGAATGAAGTATAACAGAGTTAAGTTATAAAAGGATTATATTAAATAACCAATGAAGGTGAGAAAATAATTTTAATATAATCTTTTTCTATTGAAATAAGTTTGAATAAATTTAAGAATAAAAAAAACAATTTGTTTCTTAATTTAAATAAATTATATGCTTTATTTTTGAAAGATAGTGGAAAGGGGAGAAGACCTTAGATAATATTCTAAACCTCAATATATTTATCATATACAAAAGAAGCTTAATAATTACTTTTTTTTTATTTCATAAAATTATTTATCGTTCAGAAAATTTTTTTTTTTTAAATTGTTTTTTGGGTAGTATTGGAATAAAAATGAATTCAAATCGACAGGATTTTTTCGGAGATTTATAAGGAAGACTTCATAATATAAAAAAAGATATATTTTTTTAAATCAATTTGAAATAAAGACAAGCATAAAAAACAGGGCGCTTTTTATATTTTTTTTTTTCCAGAACATAAAGAATTCCATTTATAATAAAGTCTTTTAGGTACTATTCGTTGCGTGCGCGAAAAGAAGTTTGTGCGTGTATTTTTTGACACGTTAGTCTGTGGTCAATTGGACCAACAATGACTGGACTTATCAAAACTTATAAAGTAGCAGTGATGTACTCGTGACTTTTTTTTAATTGAGGTATTAACAAAGGAGCGTAAAATTTTGTGTATAATTAAAAAAGGGTCACGAGTACATTATAAGTAATACACCCCACTCAGGTGATCATCAAAGGTTATAACCTATACACTTCTGACATAAATAGTATTAGTAAGGTTATGATCGCCTGAGCAAGGTGTAATAAGCATGGTCGATAGTCATGTAATATAGAACACATGACTCGTGTAATATGTGTTTCTAAGATAGAAGAATCAGGGTAGAAATGTTAGAAGTTATTTAGAAATATTAATTTTAGTAGTTTATTATAGTAATTAATAGAGTAGTTACACTTTAAAGAAATTGAAATTTAGTAATACGTAATTTAGCAATTTATTCTAAAACTTTTCATAGTTAGAGCAACTGTAAAATTCTAAATTTTCGTACCAAATAAGATAAAATATTTAATAAAGAAGGATAATTAATAAAAGCAACAGAGAAGGTATATCTTCTCGCTTTTTGATTCTTGTAGGGTGACAACAGCATTTTTATCTGGCAACAAACAAGAACTCAACCAAATTGCCATTAAAAGTAAGTTGGAAATGTGGAGTATGATACTATGATTTATATAGTTATGTTGATTTATTTTTATTTTTATTTATTTCATTTTATATAATTTCATTTTTTTTTTTTGACAAAAATTTGTTTAGCCTTTCAATCATCCGCAGTAATCAATGAACTGATATAGTCATAATTTTTTCTTTATTTAAGATTATACATATAATATGCAAAAATGTGCTTACTATTTAAAGACAAAAGTGCTATAATGAGATAATCTTAAATTCTTTTTTTAAAGGACGTATACAGAGTTTCTCTTACTTTCTGATCGTCAGGCAATTGTAAAACTGTCTACAGAGATTTTACAATGTACTGCTTAATCTGGTTAATTCCTATTATAATTCTGCCTAAATCGGGTTAGATCCTTAAAGAAAAATTCTGTGGCCGTATAAATGTATTAGATTATCTGTGTTTTAGGACGAAATTTTGCTATGAGCAAAAATGGATTACCGGGAAAAATAGTTACAAATGCCACAAACAAACTATTGTAATCTCGTATATGCGGTTTCATTTATGCGCGTGGAACTAGGGTTCAAAATATGGGATTAAAGAATAAATAATGTTACCAACTCCACCGGAATCATAAAAATAGAAAAGGGTTCGCAAGGTTTCGCGATTGTTGATTTGAGTTGCCTGTTGGTACCATATTTGTGTGGGTTAACTTGTGAATGAAAGATATTAACGATAACAACTCCGTTTTTGACAAGAATAAACATTTATCTAATCTGTATTACTTAAAGGTCGTTTTATTTGTAATCCTTATATGCAACATGTCATGAGGACTTGTCCTCTCATTTCTCAGATTACATTATCAAGCGGATGATTTCTTTTTTGAACTACATTATGATGTAACCGAACGTAAATTATATACAAATATATAATTTAAAGAATTTAAAGGAAAGAAAAATAATTATTTGTGCATTGTTAAAATTTTTTGGCTTATTATAAACTGCGAGTGCAATAATAAGTAATTTAGACGAACGAATTTTCTCAGAGAATTTTTTTTTCTTCAAATAACGAATAAATAGTAGTTATTGGGTAGGGGGGTTAAAATATCATCCGAACTGCAAAGCAGTTCGGATGATATTTTAACCCCCCTATCTAATAATTGTGTCATTATGCAGACGTCCAAGTCCATGTTCCATATGAAAAGCATAGTAAACTGTATAATAATCTATATGACGTAATGCGTCAAAAATATCAAAGATATAATAATTTATCTAAAAAATATCAATATGTTAAAAACAACATGATCCTATTTGGCTGCATAATAAAAGGATTATTAAATAAAATATAATATAAATAAAATAGTATTGTCAAACCAGTAATGCGAGGGCATACATAATAAAAATTTCTATTTTAAGCGATCATATTTCCATACATATAAACTGCGTCCGAACTCCGAAGCGTTGTGATTTACGTGATCATCATTAATGTATTGTATTAGTAACACACAATTTTAACCCCAACGTGACCGGTGACATTTAGGGGAAGTAAAAAAATATAATGAAACTTTAAAGACTCCTTCTATTAAAAACTAAATTTATTTAAGGTATTATAACAATTAAATATAAAATTATTCATGGTTATTATTTTATTACATCTATGACGAGATATTTATTGATAAAATTTGATCCTTATCCCATTCATTTCCTAATACTTCTCTACTTCTTCTATTTGTTTATTATTTAAATACTCAGAACAAGTCACTAATGGTTCTAAAAGACTCTTTTCTTCGGGTTTAGTTTCACGACGTGCTTGTCTTGGCTTTTTTGTTGGCGGCTCATTTTTATTTATAATTACTACTTATGATATCAAATATATTGGTACGCGCACTGGTTATTGTTGGCGGCTCATTTTTATTTATAATTACTACTTATGATATCAAATATATTGGTACGCGCACTGGTTAAAGGGTACCTGAAAGTTTAATAGAAATAGCTTGAATAGAATTTTCTGCATTTGAATTTGATACTAATGATATTGACTCAACAACAATTTAAAAGGTCAATTGTTGCTTCTTTTTTTTGAATTTTAGTCTAGTTTGACTATAAGTTTGCAATTTACTATCTAAATAATCAATTAGAATACATGGTAAAAGATTTGTATTCATGGTTGGCCTAAGTCTACAGTATATGCAAGTTCGTTTACATCTTCAACAGCCGTTAATAAAGGTGGAGGACTTTTTAGTTTTCATACATACCAAATTCTTCTTTATTTTCATCACTTGTTTTTTCATTAAATTTATATATTACTAACTCAGAAAGTTCATATCAAAATCTTCTTCAGTTTCTTCCAAAAATATTTTTTGACTATTATAATATGAAGTGGGTTTTTTTCAAAAGTAATTTTATAAGTCTCTATATCAATAAATTGAAATTTAAGCAAACTTTGACGTTAAGATTCTTTTAAACAAGAAACAACTTATTTATACTTTAAACTAATTTATAACTTACTTTAAAACTTATTTTAATCTTACTTTAAAATAATTTTTAACTTCTTTAACCTTATTTAAACTTTAATTTGAACTTATTTATGCTTAATTAAATCTTAAAAAATTATAACGGTTTTAGTAATTACTTTACTTTCTCCATACTAATATAGGTTTCATTCAATGATGCTTATATCACAATATTGCTTTAAGACGAAATCATCTCTGGGTTAATTATTTCGTCAAAAAGTTTATTACATCGATCGTCTATGTTCTCGTTTAGGATGAGTTTATTATATTGATCGTCTCCGTTCTCGTTTAGAATGAATATAATTTCATTGTATGGGTTGCAATTTACTCTACTTCTTCTTAGATGTTCGTATTGGCAATAATATAGGACCTTTTCTTGTGCCGACATAGAGTTCCAGCCTTCCAGGCGGATTTAGCCGACTTCATGACTATTGTTCTCTTGGTCTTTTTTGTTCGATAATATTTGTTGTAAAATTCATTCGAAAAAAATAATAAAGGCGTTGGGAATTTTACACCTAGATTTCGAAAGTTTACGAGAGTGAATGGATTTTTGCTTTGAAGCTTTACTCATTATATTCAAGAAAACTTTTAATTTGATTTCATTTTTTTACTGAGGAAGCTTTCTTTTTTATAGTTTTTTTATTATTCGAGAAAATTTTTTTCTGATTATATAAATTTTATTATCATAGGAAATTTAATACCCAAATCTTTCATCCTAAACTTTACGAAATTGATTATATAAATTTAGGAAATTTTAATACTCGAATCTTTCATCCTAAACGTTACGACATTAGTCATGTAATTTAATTGTAATAGGATTCGTTCATCCTTTAAATTCTTTTACATCATATGAAAGAAAGTAATTAAAAATAGAACATATTGAAATCTTATTTCAGTAATTTTTAAATTTATTAATAATTTTTTTTTTTCTTGAAACATGTTCTTTTTTTCATGATTCTTGTGATGAAAGTTAAGTTAGTCGTCATAAAAATTCGGAAACTATTATCCTAAATAAAGCATGAATGTAATAATCATATTTTTTATGCAAAAAAAAAATATATATATATTTCAAAGTATTTTAAACATATAAAGTAAATTTATAATCGTTTAATTTGTTTTACTTTTAAATAATAAAGATTTATGATGACATAAAAATAATTTGTAATTAATTTTTATAAATGGAATTCAAAATATTTATTGTTCACGTCTTAATATTAAGAAAGAAATCAAAAATCTAACTAATTTAATATAATAGTTTTCTCGGCTATTACCACTTATGTATAAAGTCTTTCATTTTTTAATTGTCCGCTCGACGTTTTAATTCCACGCAACTAACTGACGTTGTAAATTTTTCCTTATCATAAAAAAATGGTTGATTTAATCATATTATTTGTCTTGTAACCGTTTCACGCATAAATTTTCCTCAAAAATATTAAAAAATCTCGTTTTTTTTTCACCAAAAATTAAAAGTTTTTTTAAAAAAATATAAAAAAGTTACACACATTTTCAATGTTGCTGCAATTGTACATGTAACACAATACCTAAAATAGAATCAAAGATCAATAATAATTCTATTCCAATATCTTTCCTTAAATGATGCCGATTCAAGTCGGTGAAAATAATTTCGTGCTCATTCGGTAATTGTACGTGCTCGTTCTCCCTAGTACTTTCACCTTGTTGAACTACAAATATTTTTAAAATAATTTTAAGGAAAGTCAAGAGACAAACCTAAAAAAGAAGAAAAAAAAGAAAAAAAGAAAAGAAAAGGGAAATTTTTAAAAAAAAGAGATAAATTAAAAGGAATAGAAAATTAAAATCAAACTCCTTCGATACCAATAATTCAATAGCGAGTAATAAACAGATTATAATTTCTTGATTTTAGTTGTCTCAACATAAACTGAGATTAATTACAATTGCAGTACATATTATTCTATATTGACCAATTTTTTTTTTAATAAAGCGATAATTATTAATTGATAAATTAATATTTGAATGAATGTGGACAATACTAATTAAACCGCAGTCGTCATTATCAGAATTTTTGATTCCGCTTATTGTGATATTATTATTTTTTTTCAACCTCCTAATATTCAATCACGTGAAAGAAGATGCATCTTCGAACGCAGCGGCGCAGCATGTAACTTTGAATTTAATATTTATACTATTTTTATTGTTAATACTATATTTTCATATAATTCCGAATGTCATTAAAATTCCAAAAAATTATTACTTAGCTTCTCTATCTGCAATTGTATATTGTAAGATATTCAGATAAGCGAACTCAACCTTTAAATTGTTACCTGTTACAAAATTTGAAAATCCAGAGATTGTAATACTATATGGCAATGTTTTATCATTAAATAAATCAGATCATTAAATTAAATTATATTTTCATCTCAAGTATAGATTTTTATCGCGTAATAACAAGCCACTGATCAAGAGTCTGTTAAGAGTCTATTATCTACAGGATTAATCTAAAACAAATTATGTACTAAATAAATTATTTATTAATAAATTAATAAAGAAGAAAATTTTAATCCAAAAAAGTAACTATTTTAAGATCTTAAGGTATTGGGTCACAATGCAAAAACTAGTTATCTAGAAGGTTATTTCTTGTTTGTAAATTTGTCATAGCTTAACAAAATTCTATCTTTTCCTATTCCGAATGTTGTATTATCGATAACTTTAAATTTAAACCGGTATTTATTTGTGATTGAGTAATATTGATGTGTTTTTTATTCTTAGTTTCATCAAACATTAAATATTCTCCTTTCATTTTCTCTTGTGATCCTTTAAAAGTATATATTCATTTAATCGATTAAGTAATAAATATGTATTATCTAAAGTAAAAGCTTTAAAATGCGTTACATGTAGATGAACTTACGTTATTAATTTTCGTCCTAAATTAGCAAGAATCAAAAAAATCATATTTATTTAATTGAGAAATGTATTAAAGCATCTCAGTTAAACAAACGGTGATAAATTATTTAACTAGTATTTTATATTATTTTTGGACAACCTGTAGTCGTTGGTGGTGCAGTAGAACTGGGGATGTGAAGAACCCTCATTGTAAAATTTCGTCAACCATATCCTCATCCTGTCACTATAAATATTGTTGATAAAAGAAATATTTACTACAAACATGCTATTTATATACCTAAGTCGTCACTTAAAAAAGAAGTTATTATGTACGAAGGAACTAGTCATCTAGACAATCACACGTTAGATTTTAATAGAAGCAGCCAATTTGCTATATGGAAAATAAATAGATTTTCTTTTGTGGATTATATTTATGATTCCCTCAATTCTGATAACCTTAAAGATAAAATTTTGGAATATCAACATTTGTTAACTCTCTACAATAATTTTACTATTTTCGCATTTCATTTTACATCATAGTGATTGATGAACTTAAAGAAAAGCGACAACTTCTCTTGGGATATGACATTCAAAGAACGAATGATGTACTGGATAATAAATTTCCATCTGGATCATTACTTAATGCGCTTGAAGATTATAAAAAAGAAGCTTTGCCTTTAGACACAAAAGACCAAATGTATACCGCTATTATGACTCTAGTTCATCATAATGAAATTTCATTGGCTCATTATTTTTATAATTGCGAATGAAATTGATCCCAATTATACCTTCATTGATCGTTTAAAATCCTTAAAATATTCTGTTGAAAACTTGGCAAATTCGTTGAAAAATGTAAAACCATTAAACCTTATAATGAAAACATTAAGTTCGAATCTTACATCAAGATTACAAAGGTAGAAATTTAAATTTACTTAATTGATTTTAATTAAATGGTATTGAAATTTTTTAAATTTATTTTAGTGGTTAATTCAATTATGTCACGATATGGACTCTCTCTTAAAACTTTGGAATGATGTGCTTTTTCATAATAACGAAATTGATAGAAATATCTTTAAGAATTTTATTGACCAAATTCGAGGGTGTGTCTTCCATGATGATGCTGTTGCCTTAGAATACCTCGATCTCATACTTTATCCTTACTTGAAGGTTCAAACGGGAAATGGACAAATGAAAATATTACTGCCATTGTAAAACTTCTACATAATGATAGTCTGCATTGGAGTAAAGATGAAGTTATTCAATTATTAGAGTTAATATCTCAGTCACATACATTGGAGTTATTGAATTTATTTCCAGAAATTTTAAATGATTGTTTCCGTAGTGATCTTACGGATACTAAAGAGAAAAAAATATCAGAATGTTGCGTAGTTTGGTTTAATAACTTTATAGACAAGCTCAACTTATCAAACGAAAGTGACTTGATTTTTTCAATGTTTCAACGTTTAGAACTTGTGCATCCATTGCTTAGTCAAAGAATTAATATTTGGCAAAATTTATCAGATATTGCTATAGAAAGAACAAAGAATTGTCAAGAAAATCAAATCTTTGATGCAATAAACAAAATGATGTTAAAAAATTATTCTTAGACATGATAAAAGAAATATTAAACAAACACTATCCAACAAATGATTAGCTGAATATGCAATTATATTGGCAGAAACATAATAAATATTTTTAGTAGCTTAGATTTTTTTTATTAAAATAATAATTTAAAATGAACGAAAATATTTGTATCATATGAATAGATCATAAGTTCAATGATTTTTCCGAAATTTATTAATTTATTTGGGCTAGGATATTATATTAGATGTTGCTACGTTATAAATCTAAATAATAAATATTCCATTTAGCAGTATTTGACGGACATGGTTAACTCATAACATTAATATCCATTTCAAACAAACATTTTGATTCAGTTATTTCTAAAAAGAAAGCTTTAGATGTACTTGTTTCTTAAGACTGTGAAACTTAAAATTAATTTCATACCTGATATCGATGAAATTATTCAATATTAATCATGTGACCGCTCATCAAATCTGTTGGTAAAGTGTTTATATTATTTTAAATTAACTATTTTTGTTAAAAGTGATTATTAAAAATAATTTTTTATTATAATAGATATAAGAGTAACTAAAAAAAACTAAGATGGGTCTGTCTATAGCGTGATATTACATTAATTGTAGATTGTGTCTTAATATTATAGCCTGCCTTTACATGAAATTTTTTATGGCGAATTTTAAAATTAACTAGATCAAATGTAGGGATGGCAATGGTCACGGTCATTAACCTGTTATGACCGGTCATGACTGTGACCGATATCAGTCGGTCAAAGACCTCTGACTGACCGTTTGACCGACCAGTCTGACCGACCATTTAACTGACCGTTTGACCGACCGTTTGACCGATCCTAAAAATATTTGCGAAACGTCTTTTAATATGTCCATATCCCATATCCCATATCCCATATTCCATATACCATCTCATGACCATATCCCATATCTCATATGAGTCACATCCCATATCCCATCCCATATCCCATATCCCATATCCCATATCTCATATGAGTCATATCCCATATCCCATCCCATATCCCATATCCCATTTCATATCCCATTAAGTATATAAATTTCACGTCCTAAAGGAAAATTCACACGTATTCTGAAAAGTAAATTTATACACCGATCACATAATTCTGGCCAAAGTTACATATTACAGGGGTTTAAATTTTTATCTTACATACCCTAATTTTAAGAATTTATTGATTGGTTTTCAATAAAATTTATATCGTTAAATTTGTCTTGGCAGAAGGAATCCAATGGTAGTAAAACCATATTTCCATCATTAATATTGATTGAGTTATTGTGAAAATGTATTTTTATTATATATTATTTGTGGTAGGATTCGAAATATTTCTCATTTAATTTACAATTATAAATTATTACGCACAATAATTAATATAATTTTTATTTTTTCTCCTATTTTACTAAAACTTAAGGGTTATGTTAATTGATGAACTGAGTTAAAATAGCCTTACAGATTAAGTTTATATAAAATTTATTTATTAATTTTAACTAGAATTGTATATTAAAAAGAAATTTATTGGTAGTAAAATCATATTTTTGAGAATTAATATTAATTAATTCCCTATAAAAAAAAAATTCTTTAAAATGTACTTAAAATATACTTATGTATTTTTTTAAAATATACTTAAAATATACTTATATATTTTTAAAATATACCTAAAATATACTTAACATTTTAAAATATACTTAAAATATACTTAAAATTGCAATTTTAAGTATATTTAAAGTATAAAATTTTGCACTTAAATTATACTTAAATTATATTTAAATTGCAATTAAGTATATTTTAAATGTAATTTAAGTATAAAATTTTATACTTTAAATGTACTTAAAATTGCAATTTTAAGTATATTTTAAGTACATTTAAAAATTTTAAGTACATTTTAGATATATTTTAAAATATATAAGTACATTTTAAGTATATTTTAAAGAAATTTTTTTTCATAGGGATTTATAATATAAAATATATCTTTTACTTTTTTCTTACTTTTCTTAAAATTTACTTATATTTTATTTAAAAATGACTTGGTACTATGCAAATAGATTACTACTGCTAGTTATAAAAAAATTTTTCATTATAAAAATTTTTTTTTCTTCATTTTATAAAAAGATTTTTTTTTTTCATTATAAAAATATTATTTTTCCATTATATAAATCTCTTCATTATTAATAAAAAAAAATATTTTTTTTTTATTATAAAATTTTTCCATTATAAGGTGATACAACATTAAAAAGTTGGTTCTTATATTTTTTTTGCAAAAGTTTACAGAAAAAAAATAATAAAAATTTATCTATAAAATAATATCTATAAAAAATAATAAATTAATTATAAATTAGAAAAACTCTATAGCTTATATTATATTGATTAGAATTTTATTTTTAAATAATTTATAAATTGTTTTTCTATTTTGATTAATAAAAGAACTAAATATTTTACAGAAAATGGCTTGGTATTCAACAAAAGAGGACTTGGTTTCTAATTTTTAATTTTAAATTTAAATTATTAATATATAAGAAGTAATATCTTTAACCCAATAATTAATAAATTACAGATTATTATATGATAATGATATGAATGTCTAATAGAATAATACTTACAAATAATTAAATGTACAAAAAATATATTAAAAAATAAATCATTTTATAATTAAATGGGATTTGGGTTGGGATCATATAAAGTTTAATCGATAGAAATTGGATCTCCGCGCATGTGGTTGAATGTAGATAGGCGCAATATTTCATTATGACGCTTACTATTATATAAGAGCACATATGACTTTATAGGTTTTGCACAAAACTCTATGAATAATGTGTCTGAATTTTCAACATTGAGTACGATCCGTTAAGTATACTTGTTTATTACTAGGAAAGTACTGTAAAATCAATTAATAAATTAAGGTGGAATAACTCTATCTATAGTGATAATAGAATAAGTTCAAAATCGATAAAAAATGATACGATTGATACAACTTGTTTATTAGGAATATCAAAAGGATTTTTCGGCTTATAAGAAAATTTCAAGATAGATAAAAAATTCTATTATTGTGAAGTTATTTGACAAAGAATTAATTAGTTACACTCACATATTTGGTACATAACCATATAAAATAATAGGACGTTTATACATGCAATGATACTTTAGCCATAAATTTTCCACATGTAAGTAAAAAAAATTTATCTGCTTACTATGTAACAACTTTTAAAATGGATTACCAAGAATGAACAAGAATAACTTTATTAATATATAAATTATAAAATAAGGTTCATTGTGAATGTTATCAAAGAGACGTTTCCTCTTTTAAACTATATGATTTAATCGTACACGGATGTCGATCAATCACTTATTCAGCTCTTTTTTTTCTCACGGAAAACTATGTGCGAAACATCTAATAAATACAAAATTAACTATAGAAGTTAGCAAAATTATAGTTATGTCATTAAATGAATTTTATTAATATATTTTAAATTATTTTGGGTTTTTTTTAGAAAGCTAATGAGGCAGGTATGTAGTACGTATTCATCCGCCGATCCGGTATTTTTAGCTGGGCACGTTAAAGCAAGATTTTTAGTCGAGATTTATTGACAAAAATTCATATTTTAATATTCATATAAGATTAAATTAGTTACCAACCTATTTGACATTTTTCATTTAAATAAGTTCCATTTCGTTCAACCATCCGACAATTCAATATTCGTATCACGCAATTGTTCTCAATATTTATGATATACAGTGAATAGTAAAATAAAGAAGTCGGCAATTATTTAGAAAAATGGCCAACTCAAGAATCTAACAATTTATTTCTTGGATTTTTTAATGAAAAAAATTCTCCTTGCGCAGCCACGTGATCACGTGATTAAAATTTGCGTTAAAAATTTACAAAAATCATACATCGGAAATAATTTCATAATAAAAGAAAATATTCTATAAATTAAAAAATCATAGAATTAAAAAAATAATAAAAAAACTTTTAACCAAACATAATTGGCTAATTCTTAATAATTAAGTAATCTATCTTTTCATCATATGCATACCTGTTCAAATTTATCTTACTTTTTTCAAACATAAAATAAATTATTTTGATTAACATAGACTAATAATCTTTCAGTTATTTTATCAACTTCGTTAATTTTAACTAGTATAAACTAAAAGCATCCATATCAAAATGGTTTCATTGTTGATGTTGAATATGATTGGAATCAACTTGTTGCTGTAATCGAAAATCATTTATATCTTGGTGACCGCATATTGTCATTACATTATTCTCAATATTTCCGTTATGCGAATCAGTGTCCCTATAATTATCATTGAGATTAACATGTGGTTGAGTAGCCTGGTGAATATCATTTAAATCTTGGTGATCGCATGTCAAGCCATTAGATTGTATTGTCGTTACATTATTCCCAATGTTTCCATTATCTGTGTCTCTATAATCAACTTGTTGTTGTGTGTAAGCAAAAACTCTAGTTCCATTTACATTCTGGTGACCATTATCGTAGTTTTGATCAATATCTATTGTCGAAACAGGTTGTGTAGAGAGTGTATTATTCATGATATTTCCGTGAAATAAATTTGTATCTCTATCAGTAATTTGCCGTGGAATATTATCGAAATCAATTATTTGTTGTGAATTGGTTACGTGATAAGAAATTATATTTTGTGGCGTCACGGATGTTGAAAAGGGAAAATCATTGTTTTGACTATCGGTAGTCGCTTGTGTTATCATTACATTATTTCCAATATTTCCATTAAATGAATTTATATTTCCATTATAAACTAGTTCTTTGGGAATATGTTGTGGTATATTATTGAAATCAACTTGTTGTCGTGGATTAGTGACATTATTATTATAATATTCGACTCCAGTTTGTTGAGAAAAGTTATTATCAAAATTATCTTGACTATCAGTTATCGAAATTGTCTGTGTATTATGTCCGTAAGAAGAATTTAAGTTACGATCGGTAATCTCACTATCAAGAATATGATTTTGTACAAGATGAAAATGAAGAATTTGTTTCAAGTCTTGTTCCAAATTCAATTTTTGATTCAAGGATAATAATTCTTTTCGTTCCAAATCATTTATGCCAATATCTATTCCATATATATTTTTGTTCAATATATTTACTATCAAAGAATATGGAAGTATTTTACATGTGACATAATAATTTCCTGTAGGATTAATATTATAAAAGAATCCATGATCATAATTGCGATCATCCAAGAAAACAGAGCCTTGTAAAATAATTTGACAAGTTATATGATAAAATTTACCATCATTTGGTGCATAATGAAAAAATTTAAATTCATTCATTTGATTCATTTGTATACCATTATTTTGTGTGATAGGTTGTATCATTGGCACAGTAGCCGCAGCATTCATATTTTATAATGGTTCTTTAATTTGGTATCGTTAAAGGCAAAGATTGTATTAAATAATAATAAAGGTAAAAAAAAAGTATTTTTTTTTATAAAATTTTAAGAATAAAAGTACTAATTTGTAATCTTAAATAAAAGATTTTTAAGTGATACAAAAATTTGAGGCGAAGATTTCGCAATAATCATATAAAACAATAAAAGGTAAGAAAATAAAAAGGTTAAGGTGGCACAAAATTTGATGTGACACATAAAATAAAAGGATTAAGGGTGACAAAACAAAGTTCCGCAATTGATAATGACATGAAAGAATAATTAAACAAAAGACTAAGGCGACACAAAAAATTGAGGTGACACACGAACTAAACATGCAAAACAATAAAAGGTAAGAGATTAAGGTGACACAAGATTTGAGGAGATACGGTACATGAAAAAATTTCCATAATTGATCATATAGACATGTAAGAATACAAGTTATTGCAGACGACAAACAATTATTAAGGTAACACAAAAATTGAGGTGACACATGAAAAATATTCCGCAATGACCATATAGACATGCAAGAAACAACAAAGGGTAAGAGATTAAGGCGATACAACATTAACGGTAAATAAAATAAAAAGGTTAAAGGGAACAAAAAAAAAAATTTCATAATTAAACATGACATGTAAGTATATTAAATGTAAAAAAAAAAAAAATTAAAGTGACACATGAAACAGAAATTAATAGATTAAGGTAATACAAGATTTGAGACGACACAAGAAAAATTTTCACAATTGATCACATAGTCGTGTAAGAATACAAGTCATTGCAGACGGTAAAACAATTGTCTAAAGATTAAGGTGACACAAAAGTTGATGTGACACGTGTAAAAAGGAGGCTCATTCAAACAATAGGACAAAAAACAAAAAAAAAGGCAATTTATTTTATAGCAATTAACAAATTTGTTTTTTTCCTTGTTCTCTTCATGCAAATACAATCACTTAATACTTTATATGATACATGTGAAAATAGTGCGTATCGTCTTTAACGCCCATGAATTAATTATTATTTAGTATAAAGAGGAAAATAATTTTCAATTTCGCAAATTATGCATCTTCACACATTTCCGCACACCCATACATGAATAAGAAGGTTATGCTCACATTAAGTTGATCAGGGTTCAGAAATTTACGTATGTTACACACTTACACCTCCTATTTCACCGCTTATTCTAGGATAGGCTTTTACTAATATAATACTACTATATAAATTAGTTATATTGATTTGGTAATTCCAAAATATCTAGGAAAGAGAATAAAAAGGATTAATTCGTGATCCGGTGATGATTGAATAAGGATACATTACATGAAAATAATGATTTAAAATTATAAGAAAATGGGTATTATTAGGAATTTAAAATTACAAAGTACCGTATATATGTTAAAACTTAATATAGAGTAGTTACAAATGCAAAAAAAAATTAAATTTTTTCATTGAAAATTCTAAATATTCTTAAACCTTTTCAATAATTATTATTATTTTATTATTTTATTTTTTTATAAAAAATAGAGTTACAAATCTTTGAAATTTAATTTAAAAGTGAAAGTAGTTTTTTTTTCTGATAGTTGTATTTAAAACATATTCTTTAATAATAGAAAGTGAATTTAACATTTCTTTTAAAATGATTTCGATTAAATATAATAAATATTTTTACGTGATATTCAATACAAAATGGCGTAAAAAAAATCTAAAAATATGTAAAATAAAATAATGCTTGCTCTTGGCCAGATGTATGGTAGATTAACCTACAACTGTTTCTCCTGAACACCACGTAGAGGTGACAAGCTTCGTTCAGGTAAAAAAAAAACCACTTACCTCAAAATTTACAACCAGTTTATAATTAATAGGGTTTAAAAAAAAAATATTATTTGGGTTGTTAAGAACAAAAATTTGAGCAGAGAAGTTCGGACATATAGAATATATAACAACATAACACAATTTAACCATTTTTCTTTGATTTCTACATGAAAACTGTGTTTTTTTAGACCTGTCTCTTATACACATCTAGATGTGTATAAGAGACAGGAATATATAACAACATAACACAATTTAACCATTTTTCTTTGATTTCTACATGAAAACTGTGTTTTTTTAGTTATGTTCTGGCCCCAGATACAACTACTTATGCGCAAGCACATCAAAACAACAAGAAAGATAAGAAAGAAATTATAAAAGACGTAAAAATCAAAACAAATAAAAAAAATGCACAAGCGCATCAGAACAAGAAAGAAATTATTTTTGTAAAATCAAAAATAAGCTTTCTCATCCCCCCATCTAATTATTTGGTTTACATATATACACAATACATACTATGTACATACATACATAAAATACGTACGTATATATACGTAATGTGGGAAAGTCGTTCGAGCAATAAACACAGGTTTCTCTATTCAAATTTCATTAAAAATTTGTTTAAGTATGGTTTTAACTTTTAACGGTTTTTTTCAACTTTTTCAACGTGGCGTCGGTCGGTTTTAAAATGTGATACGGAGTTGGTTGTACCTTACCTCTTACCATACTTAACAAAAAAAAAATAAAAGAAAAAGAAAACGAGAAAGAAAAAGGAAAGAGGGTTAAAGTGAATAAAGAGAAAAATAGCTATTTTATGTATTTTAATCATGTATTACTTAAATCGTAATGTTTCATGATGAGTAAGATATAAATCGTATGTTTAAAATACACGTCATTCGGTCATTATATACATGACGTCATATTTAGAAAAATATCAAGATTCCGTGTAACATTTTCAAAATTATCACGTTATTAAGGTTATACTAATTAGGATGACGTTAGCGGTTGCAGACATGAAATTACGAATCCAATAAGCTTTTATCCTTCTGCGGTCTGACGAGGTATCTTTAATTATTAAAATTCGTTTTTTTTTTAAATTTAGTTTTTCAGCTCTTAGAATTTAGAAAAGTATTTTTAATGCTTGAAATTTTACCGGACTTTTGGTAAATGAACAATCAAATAGCAACATATACTTCTGTATATTCACAATTATATATTAACTTATACCGAATTTTACTATTTAAATTTTATGGTTTTTACTAGTAGATTATAAATTTTTTTTTTTTTATCAGTGATGCTAAAAATGATTTTTAAATATTTTCCCAAAATGATCCCAGAGTTATAACTTACAGAAGCGAAACTAATTATCATTATGAACTCTTTTCAGAAAAATATCGATAACTCTATTAAAAGTCGTTTTTTAATTATATTAATGTTAGGACATTGCTCACTATTTGTTGCTGACTTAGCCAAGTCTTTTAAAAACTTGTTGTCATCTGATCACCACGTTGAGCAATATTGATCGGGGGAAGGGGAAAAGAAAACGAAGAGAAAGGGAAAAGCGAAAGGGAAGGGAAAACGAAGGGAAAGGGAAAACGAAAAATCAACTTTTTTTGATTTTTTAATCAGTGTACATTTATAATAGAACACAAATTAAATATTAAGTAGTTTATAGATTATAGAATTAATGTTTACACAGTACTAATCAATTGCTGTCTTAATCAATCCTTATTGGCTCAGATTACTTAGAACTGTCAAAAAATAACAGAATTTTACATTCAAGATAAGGATTATATAGTTTGTATGTAAATTTGGCGTCATACTGAATCATATTATAACTCAAAGATTGCCAATAACGAAAGTTACGAAATCCCATGATATTGCAAATGATTTTAATTGAAAAATTTTAGAAAATGATAATTTAGTCTTTACGTTTATTTGCTGTTTTTACTAACTACCCAAAAATACTGCGTAAATCATGTGATCATCACAAATCACATGATTGTGATTAAAGAGTTACTGTACGTAATTTACATAAATTAATAAACTTTTATTAAAGTTTAACTTTTTCACTTTCAATATGGATATTGTAACTATTGGTAATTTACAATAATGTAAAAAATGTCGAAAAAATTTACCTCTAGAAGCTTTCATTCTCGGCAATTTAAAACTTGTAATAGACTAATAGTAATATATATCCTTACCAAGCGAAGAATCAATACAAAATTCACCTTCTAATTCAAATAGAGGTAACTAATATTTATATTATCATATTGATAATAACAAAAATAAACCTTTTTTTGTTCTTTTTTTTTTAGATAATGCATTTTAATCAATATAACAAATGCACTTTTTAAAGATTACAAATTAATACTAACATGTCAAGCATTGAAAATTGTAGAAGAATCAGACAAGTTTTAAGGGAATTAAAAGTTTAATAACTGATATTAATAAGTATGAAAGACAGATTACAAATCCACGCACTTGGAAAGATCACAATAAACATACAATGTTTTTAGAGAAGCGATTTATTTTGTAGATAGGCGGTAAATTAATAAATTTATGAAATATTTTCTTTTTTAAAAATAATAAATTAATAAAGTTTTCTTTAAAGTTTCATAATAAAATACTTTCAATTTTTTTGAATATCCGAATTTTTTTATGTAAATTACGCGGATTTCAAGTTACACAATTTAAACTATTTATACATGCTAGTCTAAACGTTACGGTTACACATTGTATTTTTTTAGTTATATATTCAAGGAATATTTTTATGGATAAATCTAATTGTAACATCCTGTTACGCGTCTTATTTGTAACAACCCCCAATTTTATCCAATTAAAATTTAAGATCAGGCGAAATGTAAACAAAAACAAAAAGATCAGTAGTGTAACCAAGACAAAAGAATTTTTTAAAAAATTTCAAGAAACTGCTTATAACTTGAAATTTTGTCTATGAAACTGTCTTAAGTACATTAAGTAAAAGTTTTCCAAATTAAATTTTGCATATAAAAATTTTATTTGTAAACTACATACTAAATTTATTATTAAAAAAAAAAAAAAAAATGATGTTACAAATAAGATATGTAACAGGCTGTTACAAATACATTTATTCTATTTTTATTAGATTGGAAATTATAACCAAGCATTATATTTATTACTCGAGTTGTTGTTATTTTGTATTACTAAATAAAGGATTATTTGTGTAGCTTGTGTATCACACGGGCTCAAGGGTGAAATATTCGATGATGGGCTATGTAAAATTATTTTGAATAGTGATCGACAAGTATCATGAAATTTCCGATGTCTGATATACCCAAATCGGGTCAAATAACCGGGTTGATTCGATCGTCTCGGAGCACCACTTTTTTAATCCAAATTGAGGTTTTTTGTTATTCTCTAGTTTTTATATTTGTACATGAAATCACGATGGATTAACGGATTAAACCACAAAAATCTATACATTATGATTGTAAATGAGAAAAGATTTTTTTTAAGCAAGAATATAAATATCGACATAGATAACATCAATAATATTTCAATAATTCATCATGAATCAGAAATCCTTTATTATTACATTTACTTTGTTTGTATTTTTTTTCCTTATACATTTTGAAAAAACTTACGGATGTCATCCTGCTGGTCTTTATGGTTGTGACAAAGATGTTTGTAGTATGTTAATTTTCAAACAATTTCTAATTTATTATTATTATTCGAGTAAAAAAGAAATAATCCTTTTTTTTTTATAGAATGTGATACTTTTTCAATAACTGATGCCAATATGTTATCAAATAAGAGTCTCAGTATCACGGTTAAAAGTAATGATGGTTCCCATTCACAAGCATTCGGCCACTTTACCATGAATGATGATGCTGGCGGCAAATATAGATTTCTGCACAACCCACATTTCGTTAATGGCTGTGAATGTAAAGGTGAAGGTCCTAATACTGTTGATCCATTTACATCTAACTGGCCATATACTATTGATACGCCTCCAGGAGGGACTTGGTTTGATGTTTGGGTTACAGTATATTGGAAATGTGATTTTGGTAAAATTGGTGACGTAGATTGTTGTACCACAGCTTTACACTATCGAGGTTATGTCAAATAAGTTTACTTAATCAGATTTATTCTCGCGAAATTTGAGACGCAGTTAATTTAATATTACGTATTTGAAATTAAATTTATATACCTCACTTAAAATTCATTGGCGATATTTTGTGAATTAACTAAGTATTTAATTTTTGCTTTATTTCTTATATATTCATTTTTATGGTCCATCCTTCTATTTTACTGAATATTTTGTTTTGCTTAATTCTTTTAATATCATTAAACTGGAGATATGGAAATATTACATCTTTATAATCATTAATACCTAATTTTTATTTCTTATCAATTTGTTCGTTTTTGCTGATCCAGTCTACAAAATTTTCTTTTAACCAATTTATTTCACATGGCATACACACATACTTTTCTAAACAAATCTTTCATTTTGACACAAAAGAATATGTATCACTATTACTTTGTGTTACACTTATTTTACATAAAATGATCGACGCTAAAAATGACATTTTTTTTAGTATGAACGCCGATCATTTCGTAGTAGAAAGGGAGAAACCTGATTATTAATCTACTAGCAATCACGATGATGACAATCATTGTTTTTTAGGGTTCATTATAATGCAAAAACCGTGTTTTTTTATTCCATATTCACGATTGCATGAATTAAAAATAATATATGAATTATTCTCTATTCGTTTATAAAATTAAAATATACTAAGTTACAATAGCTGCTAATTCGTAAAAGGTAGTCCGCTCTACAAAAAAAGTTGCATACATTTTTGCGCAATTTTATTATTTACGTTACCTTTAGAGAATATTATATTAAATGGTCAATGCATGTGAAATACACGAGGAGCGGTCTAACACTGGTTTAACTGTTAAAACAAGAGCATATAATTGATGTCACACAGCATGTTAAATTATCTTGCTTATTTCAGGAAATGAATATCTTAATAATGATGTCATTGCACAAAGTTCATAAGTGGAGTTATCCTTATTCGAAATGATAAGGAGTTGACTCCGGTAACTGGACGCATTCCTTTTATATAAGTTCTTCCATTATTATTTTTTTTAAATATGATAATGATATCATGCTAACCAAGATCAGAAAATCTAAAACATAATCACCATTTTATTTCTCTTACTAGTTGTATTTGCAATAGGAGCAGCTGCATTTTTCTGTTACCATGACCATGAAACAATAAAATACGGAAGTGAAATAGATATAATAAATATGGAAATAGTTGTACTCAAATGCAAAAAATAAAGAGCTCGAGATTAGTTACATGCAATGGCGGGAAGGTAACTAGTTTTTAAGGACTTTACTTTATCAAACGTGTGAAGTCGGGAATATATTTATTTACGATAAATAGTTTATTGCCTATTAATAGTTAACAGATATGCCATAAACGAGAGATCAATAATGGCTGAGAAAAAAGACCATTTTCGTAAATTGTGCATCAAATATTTGTTGATCTGAGATGTTTTTTTATAAGCTTAATGATAGCTTGCATTATTGTATTCAACCCCTCGTTTATTTTGTTCTACGAAACAATAAAAAATAATCATTTAATATATATATATTTCTGATTTAGATGAAGAAAGAAAAAAAAAGATTCCTAAATTCTTTTTTCTTTAAAAGAATAAAATTATTTTTATAGATAATAGACTTTCAAAATTAACTCTACTTATATTGACCTTATGTTAACATTACTTACAGTAATTATTCTTTTTATCATTTATTCATATATACATAAAAGGTACGGGTAAATCAGTAATCATGTAGATTTCCTTTTATAGATAATTTCAGTCAGAATTTATTCGCTTGCTGGAAAAATCGTCCGGCCCCGAAAATTTAAGCTCGGTAAATTCATTAAGCCATTGTTTTTCTATTCATCCATTTATGAAGTGAGAAATGTTATTTTATTTATTATTTGTTTATTTATTTATTTTTAACCTCTTACTTTTATAAAAGCCAATATTACTGGTCTGTTCTCATTTCTAAATTCCAATGTATTTTTTTTTTTTTAATAGCAGAAAAGATCAAAAAAGAAATACAAAGAATAAGTTTTTTTAATCTTGGCAATTTCATATATTACGAGCGTGCTAGTGGCGTGCTTGTTAATGGTATTATGTGGCACTTCGTGGCACATCATTCTATTTATCAAGTGTAATACTCGTGCAATAATAATATTAATATACGGACTTGAATGATCAGCTTTTTTAAGAAACGTTTCTATATACTATAAACCAAATCTTATGTACTAAAACCTTATATATTATCATTACAACTCTTTTTTTTAAAAAAAATGTCTAATAACTTAATTATAGTGTTAACATTATTATGGTTTTTCTGTAGATTTTTAAATTATCTTTTATCATGAAAAATCGATTTTTTTCATAATATATAATTATGAGGAATTTAGTTTCAGATGTTACCGGTTTTGATAAATTGTGTTATCAATACATAACATCGATTTAAATATAGTTTGAAAAACAGAAATACTGATAAATAATGAATAATATGATCCTATGATAATTAATTTCAAAGTATTAATAATGAAGCAGAATATCTTTTATTTTGTCTGGTGTTGTAAATCTCTTTATCTTAGGCTCATCATATAAATTTAGAAAATTCTGCCAATCAGTCTCAAAGAAAAAATAATGACTAAAAAATATTGCTCTAGCTTTAATTTTCTTAAGCAGAATATGAACGTTGATTAACAATTCTAAGATTCATGGAAAAAATAAAATTAGAAATACATTTAATGATAATATTGAGTAGTTTTCAAATGATTTGTTTGTATTATGTATAATAAATTAGAAATAAATATATATTTGTAATTAAATTTGCGTATTTTATAAATAATTTGAATTAATAAAAGCTTTTATATTGGTGTATAGATATATGGTATTAATATTCGGCTATATAGGGATATCATGTACATGTTGTATCTAATTTGATATTAAAATTTGAAATCTAATATTGGATCTAATATAAAGCTCATGAAAAGTATGAAAAGTATGAAAAAGCTTAATAAAATGAGATGATTGTTCTGGTCCGTATATTAATATTGTTATTACACGGGTATCATGCTTGATAATGGAATATATTTGAAACGAGCTGAGCTTTCTTTATTTAGCCACGTTAATCAGCTTGGTACTAGAGTTTGGAATCGATTAAGGTTAATCGATTAATTAATCGACTAAGACGGTTAATCGATTAAGGTATCTCAAAAATCGGTTAATCGATTAAAATTATCAACCCATAATTCTGGTCAAATTATCTAATGCGGCCCAGAGCTATGAATTTTTGGTCACGTGTTCTCCGAACTTGGAAGAATTTGTATTAATTTTTTAATGATAATAATAATAAATAA